CCCCCCCCCCCCCCCCCCCCCCCCCCCCCCCCCCCGGGGGGGGGGGGGGGGGGTGGGGGGGGGGGGGGGGGGGGGGGGGGGGGGGGGGGGGGGGGGCTAGATGAGTTGGTTGTATTAAGGCTGTGAAGCTCCCTTTCTGGCCTCGTGACAGGTCTAGGGTCAGCAGTAATGAAGGGAGGCCTCGTACTACTGGTGAGTCAAAGACCACTGAGAAAAAGCGAGGAAAAACTTGTGTTATTGATTACTGCTGGTGAGGCTACAGGAGCCAAATCCATGACGATGGAGGGGGGGTTCATTCCATGAGAATATAGGGGTCAGATCCACAAGGATACGGGGACTGAATCTGTGAGGAGAGGGGGTTGAATCTGTGATGATACAGGGGGAAAATCCATTAGGATACAGGGGCCAACTTTGTGATGATTAAGGGGTTGAATACATGAGGATACAGCGGCCAAATCTGTGAGGATACAGGAGCCAAATTCATGAGGATACGGGGGTAGAATCCATGAAAATTCCGGGGCCAAATCTGTGAGGATACAGGGGTCAAATCTATGAGGATACAGGGGCCAAATCTGTGAGGATATGGGGGTTGAATCCATGAGGATACAGGGGCCGATTCAAGAATGATACAGGGGCTAAATGCATGAGGTTATTGGGTGGTTTTTCTGTCAGCCAAGAAAAGGCTGATGGAAGTTCATGTAGGAGAACATTACCCTGAGAACAGCAGGGTAAAGAAGACAGAGGATGCCTTTAAGTCTGAATGTGAGAAGGATGAAATTACATCAGAACATGATTAAGTCTCCCACAAAGACCTGTTTTTGCTTGATTGTATGAAATTGTCTCATGTGATACATTACAGCACTTTGTAGCCCAGTTGAGAAGCTTACAGTAAGGAGGTGTTTTACTGTAAGTGGGCGGAGCACCGTGAAGTCTGACACTGTAAGTAGATGGAACCCCGTGAAGTCTGACTTACGGTAAGTAGGCGGAGCCTCCTTGCAGTTTGGCCCCCTCCCAGAAGCAGTCCAGTGGAGTCACAATCATGCATGGGAACAGCTTGTCAATCATCTGGAAAGAAACGAGAAGATCTACGAATGAAGCTACCTGGAGAGAAGCTACAGTTTACAGAAAGACCACAGTCCCTGCTGGCACCCTGCTGCCTCCCCCCATCCTCCCCAGAGGCCACTGGTGTGTGTTGGGGGGGGGGGGGGCAGTGTGCTGCCTTTCACAAAAAATCACTGGTGCTAAACTGGTGTAGCAGCGCATGTGGTGGAGGAGCAGCAGAGCGAGCAGCACGCAGCCTCACCCTCTCGATCATGACGTTCTCGATGATGGGGACCCCTGACTTGTAGCAAATTTTATTCAGATCCCATGACCTGAAAGTAGAAGCACATATGTGGGAACTCACTGAGTGAAATTAAAATTTAATCAAAATAACTTAAAATAATTACCACACTCACGAGGGTTAGGGGCCCTGTGAATGTGACAATTTGTGAATAATCCTTGCCCCCCCTTAACCTTAACCCATAACAGTCTGCTAATCCAATTTCTAAACAAACAGTACTGTGCATTCAAATTACTGTGTCACTTCTTATTTAGACCTTTTTATATAGTACAAAAAAACATCTGTATTATGCACCTGTATGTACAAAGTTACTACTGTATGGACTGGGAGCACCACATTTTGAACTCATTTTTAAAAATATAAAATTACTGGCAGTGAAAAGAAATATGAGATCCCATGGTCACAAAGACAACTAACCAGTGAGGCTGGTGGCCGAGACAAAGATGAGCGACATGCACCAGCCAAGACTTAATATTAAAGATACAGTATGCATTTACAAACATATTTGCATATTTTATGCATCACTAATATTTATATACTACAATTTTATGCGATCCAAATAATTTTCAGTATTTGATTTTGGCTTTTGCATCGTCTGTGAGTTTCTGTGATCTTTCAGAAAATTCCAAAAATATTCCTGTTTAATTGTTCACGGCCACATTGTGAATAACCGAAAGAGTGAATGTGAAGGGGCTACTGTAATATGCTCATGGGATGAGCTGCTAAGGAAGATGGATGAACGGATGGATGGATGGATGGATGGGCTACTTACTTTCCGTAGAGTGACACCTGAACTTTACTGGCAGCTAGAGCAGCCTGCAGGTGCTGTAGCAAAGCATCCTGGGTAAGGATGTCAGTGCCTGCTTCTCGCGAGGTCTGGATGAGTATTTGCGAGGTGAAGACCGCCTCCTCGCCTTGCTTCTCCTTGGTGTAGCGTAGCTCACGGCTGACTCTGCTGCCAGCTGGACGAAGGAGGAGCACAATGACACAGAGACTCCAGCTGTTATTGCTGTTCATAGTGGAAAGCACCAAGCACTGCACTCAGTTACACCTAGAGAACTGCTCCAACACCTTGGCCAATAATCTGCCTTCCCTCAGAACAACATGGCTAATGGGGGCTCCAACCCTAGCCACAACCCTGCCCACATGTAAAGCTGATTCTGGACTCTCATTTTTTTGCAACATCAATTATTCTTTTTTTGTTTGTTTTTAAGATAAGCAGTAAATTGAGAAGGTACCTTCATTCTAAAAGTAGTGAGACCACCAAAGCACCACCTGTCACTCTATACAGGGTGAGCCCACCTCCTGGACAGTGTACCTCCATAGGACTACACTTCCCATTAACCAAGCCTCCTGGACAGACCATGCCCCCCCATGACCACACCTCCCATTGACCATGCCACCTGGATGGACCACCCCCCCCC